CCCCAAAACCCCAAAACCCCAAATGATAAATTGTAGAGTATAAACTAGAGATGATTCAAATATAAAATGTGAATAATATCATAATCAAATATAAGTTCTATATTGAGTGTATATCATTTAAAATTAATTATTTTAAGATCTAATGGAGTAGTTGAAACTAAAGTCAAAGAATTAGTATTCTAGTACGATTCTGAAATTTAAATTGAAGAAAAAGGTTTAATAGAATGGAGCAGTCTATTCAATTACTAACAGCAAAATTCAAAGTTTGGATTATTAGGCAGCGGAGCTCAGAAAAGCAAAATCTGTGGATATTATAAGGTTCAATGATGGGCACAAACATCAAGTAAGATATTAAAAGGGCTAAGATATTAATGATGAAAACGATGAGGATGCTATTGGTGAATTGAAAGAAATGGAGTCCCTATTTGCAGGCTCGAGTGTATCATCAGTTAGCTGTATTTTTGAAGAGGACACAGAAAACTACTACACAACTTCAGTAGTTGCTTGCACAGTCATAAGGGAGCCAGAACAGCTTATTGATAAAGATCTAATGAATTTGCTTCATTACATCAAATCTTTACCAGTTCCAGAAGAAGCCGATCTTAAGGATAAACTTGTCGAATTTGGTGATTTCACTCGGCACAAAACCTTAATATGGGATATGGATGAAACATTAATTCATACTTAGTTACTTATGCCCGATTAAGAAACTGCGCATAATTGTGATTTCACAATTACTTTAAAAAGTGGAACTAGGTTCGGAGTAGCAATTAGGCCTTACACTATGAAGTGTCTAGAGCATTTGTCCTAATTCTATGAAATGGCGATATTTACTGCTGCTGACTAAGAGTATGCAGATTTAATTTTGGATCAGCTAGATTAACCAAGAACGCTTTTCCCACATAGAATGTACAGATAACATTGCGTTAAAGTTGAAGATGCCTATGTCAAAGATTTAAGAATAATCGTTGATAGAGATTTGGAGGATATGGTCATAGTAGATAATTCTATCCTTTCTTTTGCATTCCAGTTGACTAATGGCATTCCTATATGCGCATTCTACAGTATAAATAAAAATTAGGATTAAGAAATGCTTTACTTAATTGTATATCTCGAAGAAGTTTATTATTAACATAAAGATGTCAGAGAAGCCAATAAAACTACCTTCAAACTTCAGGACTTGATAAATTCAATGACATGAACATTATTAAATTTAATTCATGATATCATTAACAATTAAGTTTAATCTGTTGTCGCTCTTAATTTTATTTTACGTTACTCACATCTTTATTCTACTTATATTTGACTACTAAGTCCTTTCTATATTAGCAAAGTCAACATTCTATAGGATACTAATTTAACATAATGTCATCTTAAAGACATTTCTAACTCAAAAGAAAGTCGGTTAACCCAAAGAAAACCTTCTAGTTATGTGAGAGAGATAAGAGCTGGTTTTATAAACCAGGATTTTCTAAAAAGTCAATAGATCTCTACTCTTTATAGATCCTAGCTGCTATTGATTATTAAATAGCTGTATCCTTCAAGTATTCTATAGAAATTTCACTAATCAGCTACACATATTGCTTGGAAGGTTAACCAATTCTATTTTTTCAGATAAAATTGCGATTGACTAGATAAGACATAAATCCAGAAAGTACCAATACTGAACAATATCTTCTGGTTACTAATGGTAATTTTCCTAATCATTTGATAGTGAACCCAGTATTATATAAATCTAATATAATTAAAATGCTCCTTCTATTAAAATATTAATATACTTATTTAATTAAATATCTATGCAAGCCACAAACTAGGATCCAAGGATCAAAGTGAAGAATTAGTATACAAGCTCCATTTTAAAGTTCAAACTTAACAATAAGATCTAGCACAATGTTGCAGTAGCTGCTTTAACACAAAATAAGATTCCGTAATTGGAAAGTTTGGCAGATGACATTCGTCAAACCAGAACTAAATCTATGATGTTCTTTGATAATGACAACAAGCCAAAGCCAAGGACACAGCACGAGCACAATAAAGGTTCAGCTAATGTCCGTCAGTTCAAAACAGCAGTTATATCTCCAGGCGCCCAAGATTAGGGAGCAAACAGCAACTAACAGTGTATCGATCCATATATCGTTGGAGACAGTGTTAGCTCAATGAGCTCTATTCTAGACGATGATGCTGAGGATTACTACAGCTAATCTATCGTTGTATCAGCTATGGTGAAGGAACCAGAAGATTTGGTTGATAAAGACCTCATCAATTTGCTTGCCTTTATTAAGAGATTAAAGGAGCCATCTGAAGATTTGATTCATAGCAAATAGCTTGAGTTTGGAGAACTATCAAGACACAAGACATTGATATTCGATCTTGATGAAACTCTTATTCACAGTTAGCAAATTGTGCCAGGTTCAGATTAAGAGATAGTTAAAGATTTCGAGATCTCCATTGGAAATAATGTTAAGTTTGGAGTAGCTGTAAGACCTTATGTTCAGCAATGTCTAGAACATCTCTCCTCATACTATGAAATGGCTATTTTTACAGCAGCTGAGTAGCAGTATGCTGACCTAATTATAGATAGAATAGATCCAGAAAAGAAGTTCTTTTAGCACAGGCTATACAGATAACATTGCTTTAAGGTCGACGATGTTTATGTTAAAGATTTGAGAATCATTACTGATAGGCCCCCTGAGGATACTATAATTGTTGACAACTCTATTTTGTCCTTTGCCTTTTAGCTAGACAACGGAGTCCCAATGTGCGCCTTTTTAGCAACTAATAATTAAGACTAAGAGCTTCTGTATTTGATCACTTACTTAGAAGAAGTCTATCATTTGAAAGATTGTAGAACAGCAAACAAGAAGACCTTTAAACTAACTGAGATGATGACTAAGGTTATTTGAAATAATCTCTTAACTTTTCACAATGCTTATATAGTATCAGGTTTATCCTAAGGTACAAATTAAAATAAAATGTTCAATTATTTTGATCTCATCAGAAAATGAAAGAAAAGCGGGGTTTTGGGGTTTTGGGG